CCAAAAATAACTAAGAGATTTTCTTTCCATCCAAAATCGGACAGGGTAAACATTTTGGACATGAGAACTTATCATATCTCATCAAGAACAAAGAGATGCATACCCTGGCGTACCAGTTGCGGTAGCTTGCACGCAACTTGTAGTGTTGGCAGTAACATATATCAGTTTTCTCTGGTAAACGCTTCTTCCTCTTTCAGCATTAGAAACATGTCAGCATTAGAGACATGTAAGCACTTGGCTCAGAGACATTTTGAGGGGTGGGGGAAGACAGCAGATTAATTTTAAGACCTCAAGGTCAGATTATCTGCTGCAGCCAAGATCTGCACAGCACAGTAGGGAGATGGCGTGTCAGGGAGTGGGTTATGCATCCTGGATTCTTTGTCCAGCTTCACCCCCGCCTTGGCTCTGACTTAGGTTAGAGCAATCTAAGGTCTATTTCCAGCTAGGAATATAGCCAGTAAAACTCACACAGGAGGAGTGTGGATAGTGAATATTCATTCTTTCTGTTTCTTATAAGATATGTCAAAATCTGATTGATATAGGAGATCAGTGCTTGCTTTCTTTTTAACCTTCACCGTAGACAACAGAAATTCAGTGGTTTTCTGTGTGTAGAAAATGCTGTTGTCACTCAGCTCCTCCAGTCAACACCAGGGGCCCAGTCCTACACAGTGCTATGTACACTCAGCTCCCATTAACTTAATCCACATGCAGCATTTTGCAGGACTGGTCCTATACTAGGTGTACATCATTTATAGGCCAGGCTGTGGCTCATGCTACATGCCATTAGAAGTTAGTAAAGGGCAAGGCCCCCTCCTCCCCTTTACTGTCTTGCACCAGTGCTTTCCCTGCTAGAGGGGTAGCAAGTTCCACAGAGAGGCTACAACCCTCCTCACACAGGTAGGTAGGAGGGGGCAAGGAGGGAGCAGAGTCATGATTCTTCCCCCTCCAATGTTCCTGGCGGTGAAGCTACGCTGGCATTTCAGGGAGTGTATACTGTGCTAAGAATAGACCTAATGTAATTTTCTCCCTCCCCAGCGCAGTGTGGATATCTCCTTCCCATGCTGCCGCAGGGCCAGCACACCAATGCACCACACTTCCTATGGACAAGATTGTAATGTCACTATCTAGCCCTGTATTAATATTATCTTTAATAATTTATATTAGAGTTGTGCCCCCAAATGTGTGAGATGTTGTATTGGCACATAAGAAAACACTGTCCTAGCCCTGAAAAATTTCCAAACTAGAAAGACAGACAAGGTGGAGAAAAGGGATGAACCACACAAACACAGTAGAAACATACCTCTCAGAATGCCAGAGCCCAAATGTGGGATGCAGTGTGTGACAAAGACCCAAAATGAGGGCCACAAAAAATTGTGCATGCAGGAAACTTAAAATACTGTGGGATTAACTCCTTTGGGGTGGTAAATACATCTCTCTCTAAGTTATGGGGTCATCCTACCTTATTTCCTTTATAAATAATTTTCCTCAATAAAAGAGAGAGGAAACGAAATGTGTATGGAATGTATAAAGCGACAAAGAGTCCTGTGGCATTTTATAGACTAACAGACGTATTGGAGCATAAGCTTGCATGTGTGAATACCCACTTCGTCAGATGAATGTAATGGAAATTTCCAGAGGCAGGTATAAATATGCAGGCAAGAATCAGTCTAGAGATAACGAGGTTAGTTCAATCAGGGAGGATGAGGCCCTCTTCTAGCAGTTGAGGTGTGAACACCAAGGGAGGAGAAACTGCTTTTGTAGTTGGCTAGCCATTCACAGTCTTTTTTAATCCTGATCTGATGGTGTCAAATTTGCAAATGAACTGGAGCTCAGCAGTTTCTTTTTGGAGTCTGGTCCTGACGTTTTTTTGTATATTGCCATTCCTGATATCTGACTTGTGTCCATTTATCCTCTTGCGTAGTGACTGTCTAATTTGGCCAATGTACATAGCAGAGGGGCATTGCTGGCACATGATGTCATATATAACATTTGTGGACGTGCAGGTGAATGAGCCGGTGATGTTGTAGCTGATCTGGTTAGGTCCTGTGATGGTGTTGCTGGTGTAGATATGTGGGGAGAGTTGGCATCGAGGTTTGTTGCATGGGTTGGTTCCTGAGTTAGAGTTGTTATGGTGCGGTGCGTGGTTGCTGGTGAGAATATGCTTAAGGTTGGTGGGTTGTCTGTGGGCGAGGACTGGCCTGCCTCCCAAGGTCTGTGAAAGTGAGGGATCATTGTCCAGGATGGGTTGTAGATCACTGGTGATGCATTGGAAAGGTTTAAGCTGAGGACTGTAGGTGATGGCCAGTGGAGTTCTGTTGGTTTCTTTTTTGGGCCTGTCTTGTAGCAGGAGGCTTCTGGGTACACGTCTGGCTCTGTTGATTTGTTTCTTTATTTCTTTGTGTGGGTATTGTAGTTTTGAGAATGCTTGGTGAAGATCTTGTAGGTGTTGGTCTCTGTCTGAGGGGTTGGAGCAGATGCGGTTGTACCTCAGTGCTTGGCTGTAGACGATGGATCGTGTGGTGTTTCTGGGGTGGAAGCTGGAGGCATGAAGTTAGGCGTAGTGGTCGGTGGGTTTTCGGTATAGGGTGGTGTTAATGTGGCCATCGCTTATTTGTACTGTGGTGTCTAGGAAGTGGACCTCCCGTGTAGATTGGTCTAGGCTGAGGTTGATGCTGGGGTGGAAGCTGTTGAAATTGTGGTGGAATTCTTCCAGAGTCTCCTTCCCATGGGTCCAGATGATGAAGATGTCATCAATGTAGCGTAGGTAGAGAAGGGGTGTGAGTGGACGAGAGCTGAGGAAGTGTTGTTCCAGGCATATTGTGGGGCCATGCGGGTGCCCATAGCGGTGCCACTGGTCTGGAGGTATATATTGTCACCAAATTTGAAATAATTGTGTGTGAGATAAAGTCACAGAGTTCAGCAACCAGTTGTGCTGTGGCATCATCAGGGATACTGTTCCTGACACTTGGATTCCATTTGTGTTTGGGATGTTTGTGCAGAGAGCCTCCACATCCATTGTGGCTAGGATGGTGTTTTCTGGAAGATAACCAGTGTATTGTAGTTTTCTCAGGAAATCAGTGGTGTCACTGAGATAGCTGGGAGTGCTGGTGGTGTAGGGTCTGAGTAGAGAGTCCACATATCCGGACAGTTCTTCAGTGAGAGTGCCAATTTCAGAGATGATTTCATTTGCAAATTTGACACCATCAGCTCAGGATTAAACAAAGACTGTGAATGGCTAGCCAACTACAAAAGCAGTTTCTCCTTCCTTGGTGTTCATACCTCAACTGCTAGAAGAAGGCCTCATCCTCCCTGATTGAACGAACCTCGTTATCTCTAGACTGATTCTTGCCTGCATATTTATACCTGCCTCTGGAAATTTCCACTACATTCATCTGACAAAGTGGCTATTCACCCACGAAGCTTATGTTCCAATACGTCTGTTAGTCTATAAGGTGCCACAGGACTCTTTGTCGCTTTTTACAGATCCAGACTAACACGGCTACCCCTCTGATATGGAATGTATGTAACTTTGGGACTAAATTGAGTTACATCCCTCAAAATGAAAGGCATTTGAGAAGGGTAGGCAGAAGACAGGGCAATATCTGTTCTTTTTATTTTATTTTATTTTATCTGTTGTATTTGATGTCTTTTATATATTTTGCAAGTAGTTTTTTAATATAGGTGGAATGTAATCAAATGAAATTATTTTATAATTAAGGATGTCTGAAGATTGTACTTTTCCTGCTGAATTCTTATATTTTCCATCTGTTTTCCTTCTCTTGTTCTTTTTTGTGATTTGTTGAATTAACATTTTTATGGTGGTACATTTGGTGTGCCGAGGCTCTTTTGTTCATGCTGTTATGAAATTTTATTCTGCCTAGAAAAAGCTTTCTGAGTCATTCTTGAGCACCCTGAGGAAAAGTAGGGATAAGTATGAATTTTAGTTTGCAGGGTGACAGACTCAAGAGATGCACAGATTAAAGAGTTATGGGAGATTATTATCATCTTTTTGTGTGAGGATGTTTCTAGATGTCTATATGCTTCTATGGTAATAAAATGAAGAAGCTATAAAAAAAGCAAGAGAAACAGAGGGGCTTGATTAAAGTTGCAAAATGAAATGTAATGGCCATTACTAAGTATTAAATATAGGTTGAATTAAAATGTTACTAATTTTCTTGTACTGTGGGTTCTTGAAAGTTATATTTATTTTATTGGGAGATATTCTGCAATCCTTAGGAATTTTGCCTGAGTAATGACAGCTGGATTTCACCCATGGTATGACTAAGGCTTTACAGTTTAGTATTTCATGATTATTCCTCTCTGAAGTTTTCCTAAGATTCAAGTGAATAGCTGCTTATGGTTTATAGGAAGAGCAGAGGTTCCTCATCATCATTCTCTACTCCGATATTGACAAAGTGTAAGCAGAGAACACAGCTCTGATTTTCGTGCCTTTGAATTGTGTTTGATACTAGGTAAATGCAAGTACAGGGCACTGAAAATATCTTCCTTTGCAATGGAAACTCACCTGGCACCACCACTACAAATACATTGGTGGTTTAAGTGGAAATCTGGTTGACTGTTGTCTATCGAAACTCTTTCAATCTGACCAATTTCTTATGATGATGCCTAAAGAGCCAGTACTAGTCTGTGTTTGTCATATCTTAGCTGGATGTTTTGTTTCATTTCCCTTTTGGGCTAAATGAAATCTGATGCTTAATCTTCGATAGTCTGAAAAGTTTATTATACCTAATTTAAATAATTTTAAAAAGCATCATTCACTGTCGTAGCATCCAAGTCTGCTGTATCATAATAATATCTCTCAGTAGAAAAGAATGTACAGTTAACATATGAATTACTCAGTATCAAAAATTTAAGTAAATAAATGAAATGTTGGCATATGCAAGATATATTTTGGTAGAAAACACAATGTTCTGTATTTTATGTCACTTGTGTTGGTTTTGGGATACATGCTGAGTTAATCTCATTGAACTTTTCCCCAGGAATTGATGCGCTTACAATTGCCGGGTCATTATGCTGCTCCACCTGTGTAGTGTTAAGGTCAGTGTGTTTTTCTGATTATAAAAACCATCCATACCATTCCATTATAAATTCACTACCATTCATAATGGAATGTGCCATAGCTCAGAGCTAGTTGCAGCTGCCCCCAGTATACGTTTAAATATCAAACAAATGAAGCTTAGGCAATTTGAGATCCCTTTGCAGCTAAACCTGACAATGCTACATTTGAAGTAATCTTCTTTACATGTTAAGTTCCCATACAAAAAAATTTTTAACAAGCCCTGCATAAGTATATTTATTTTATTCAACCACATCATGGTAACCCTTACAAGATGATCCCAAGGAAGTCCTGGGAGCAGCAGGCAACTGTAACATTGCAGTTGCTCACCTTCATACTTAAACAAAACACAGAATGCATCAGTCACCCACAGTCATGGGGCATTTTCTGAAATTCACAGATTTTAACCTTGAAGTGATTCAAAGTAATCAAAACACAAATATCAGTCATCACAGTATATACATGATGTGAAACTCAAAAGTATATGACTGACACTAGCTGTATAATAGTTGAATCTGTGAGATGCTGGGCATGCAGTAATATACTGTTATTGTATTATACACCTTTCTGAAGAGCTTGGATTTTCTGAAGTGCTGTACGTTCATAAAAAGAGCCAGAATGTGTGTGAGTGTCTTGCTAGTATTATTTCCATCACTGAAATAAGCGCAGTTTTCTGTTATTTACCTTTACATTTTTCTTTGCTGTTGAATCCACAGAATAACTTGAATTCCTGGAAAATACAAAATACTGCCTTATATGTAACCAGGTCGTTATGGTCTTCCAGTTTTATGGGGATCTGTTCTCTGTGCACTGAATTTTGCAATTTATGGTAGTCAGTAAAGGCCTTAGACATTAATTATCTTGCTAGGGGGATATTTGTTGCTTTTTCTGTGTGCAAATTAGACAAAGCTCTAATTGCTGAGGACATATAAGCAGTCATCATAATGACTGGTATCTTTATGTAAATATTGTACAGTACTCATGATTTGAATTCCCTGTAGTTGTAAATATAATGGGATTCTGACTGTGCTTCTACAGCATTTGTAATACTGACAAAGTGGGAAGGAAGATGCAATTAGTTTTAGGAGTTAAAATAAATTGATTTTTTTTTCAAATGGAGAGAATCAGATGGGAGAGATTCTTTAATAACTAAAAGATACAAGAGTAATTTGTAATTATTGTAAGCCAGAAATAGAGTCTTATATGTGGGTACATTTATAAGAATTTAAAAACAATAAACATCACTTGAGCACAAGACCTATCTGCAGGGTCATCAACTCTTATCCATTGGTGATAACACAGCCTTTCCCAGAAAGTGACCCTGAAAACAGAGAAATAGATTGCACAACTGCATCTTTAACTGCCTCCTAATATCTTTGCAAACTTGTGCTCTGGCAGACCCAAGGAGTGACTCCTAGAGCTCAGGGTTCACCACCAAGAATTCTGCCACCTGTCCCCAAGAGTTCTACCTTACGGATAGATAGCAAGAGCATTCCAGTAACTCATAACTGATATGCTGGGGCAGAGTGGTAGAGGTAGTCTTTGAGGCACAGTGGTCATAGACCTTTCAGGGGTTTATACTTGACAACCAACAGCTTAGATTGCACAAGAAGGGAATTGGGAGCTTGTGCAGAGCCCAGAAACGCATGTGTGGCGTGATCATGTCAGCTTGCTAAATTTAAAAGGAGAGTGAGCCACAGTTTATGCTAGCTAAAGTTCCTGAGTGACCTTCAAGGGTAACCCTTCCTAGAGCTTATTACAGTCATTCAACCTGGAAGTGGCAAATGGCCAGGTTCACATCTCAGAAGGATTAAAGGAAGGGGTTGCTGTATCCTATTAGTCAGAGGAGATATGATTTTCCAAAATATTTAAATATGATGCACTACAGCTTACAGCAGCTGCCTGTGTTGCCTGCAGCTACAAAGAACTATATTTAAGTATACAATGCCTCCTCTCCTCCAGAGATGCATCTTTTACATTTCCTTTGGGCCTCAGCCTTCCAAAGTAGTGATGGATGTTGGTGTCAGAGATCAAAAGCCCTGGTATTTTTTAGACATTTCACCAATAATTTTTTTAAATGCCATTAAGTGAAATAAAATATTTTGCACAATTTCAACTGCTGACCTGTGACTGGGACACTTCTCACCATATTTTTCCAAATGGAGGGAGGACCTGTTCCTCATGCCCCCTGTATAAGTAACAGGTTAGAGCAAGCTTACACTGAAAATTTAAAAATGATTCAGAGCTGCCACTGCCCACTCTTCCCTTCTGTCTCTGGAATTGTCATTTTTCAGTAATGGTGCCTTCCTGTCAGTCAGTGGAAAGACATCTCTGGAAAAACCATAACAATGTATAATTAATTAATCCATGTAAACGGAGAGGTAGCAGGTACTGAGCTACACTGCATATATGTAGAATGGGGTATGAAGCTCACAAAATTCTCCTCCCAACACACAGTCCTTTACTATTTGAGCTAAAGGAGAATCTTTGTTAGTAGCATTAAGACTAACAGACATAGAAGGTGACACGATTCCAAACAGGTGAGTAAATCCCATTATATCCAGGAGAGGGCGGAGGTACACATTTACACAAGCTGATATATCGCAGGTGCTGTAGGAACAACTAATTTGCAGATTGTGTGGAAGTGTAAGGATTACATTTAGAAGAAAAAAACTGTCTCCTCTTCCACACCAACATCACGGCACCTATGTTCTTTTGAAAATTATGTTTTATCATTAAAATGAATAAATACCTCTAGACTAATAGACCTTCTCTTCTTTCACATCTAAGATGGGTTTATTTATTTATACATTGACTTATAACTAGCTATAGCCTCTGGGTATATTTGCAAAATTGAAATATAATTTGAGCAATAAAGCATACTGTTATAGGCAGCAATATCCCAATATCTGCCCATCACTTAAAACTACTTACACTATATGTCCAAAATACAAGAAAATACTTGAGTAAATAGAGGTCATGCTCTGTTGTGTTTGTCTTTTCATATATATATAAAACAAAACAAAAAACCTCCATTAACACCCACCCCAAAAAAATAAACAGTTGAAATTTGAATTTGCTCAGTGACAATACTGTATTTTCCAATCACATCATTTACAAAACTCAAGCCCGTAAAAGCATGGAAATGAATAGTTAAGGACATCCTAAATCTTAGTGCCAACATTAAAGCAAACACAGTATTCTTATCAAGTATAAAGAAAAGTATATTTCATCTCAACACACTATGATTGTCAAAGAGGGCACTTAGATTTTAACTCTGAACTATCTGATATTAATAGAATTGCTATTGCCATTACTGTGGGATAATCCCAGTTCTGTTGCTCTGTTTTTGATCCCCTTGGAGGACATTGAACAATCTAAAAGTATCTTTCTTATTTGCACCACATAACAACAACGTAATGGATATTATGGCTTCTTGTGACATAATGTGTGTCACAACTTGCAATGCAAATGGCAATGTCCTAGTGCAAAGGAACAATACAAAAAGGTGGGAACTCGTCACAAAAAAGAAGAATGTACAAATCTACAAGAGGATATTACTGTATACAAATGAGGGTGTCTCATTTGGAGAACTTTGCATTTCACTCTAAGATAAGCCTTTTGGTTCCAGATAAAATATCTGTAGTTCTTTTGAGGTGTGGGTGCTTTAAACAACTATGTAATGATTTATAAAGTTTCCTCTAAGCTTTTAATTTTTTTTTAGATCTTATCCAAATTAAAGGAAAGAACACTTGCTAACCTTTCAATGGGAATCCTGCATTTTTAAACTTGACCCTCAGTTAGATAAGAGGGTTTGCCTCAATACCGTACATATCTTATAAAACCAGCCATTGCTCTAGCTTTACAGTATATGCAATGGTGTTCACCTACCAACTGTATCCATAAGCAGCACTAATCACATACTTTTAATAGTACACTATGTGATGGTATTGTGATAAAGAAGTATTAGTTTTAAAAAATAGACTTCTTAATTAGGCAGTTCATCACATGCAGAGTTGATCCTTTTAATCATACGAGTGAGAGATTGGGGGAAAAAATGTATTTCTAATGCAACCCTGTGCCAGTATAGGATTGTTCCCTACAGAATATTTAGGATGCAATGTACAAAATAAATTCAGGCATTCTTTTACAATGTAGTTTTTCAGTAAAATTCTCTCAATCATTTAACAATCACAGCTAAATCTCTTATAAAGCAGCACATCAGCATACACAGATTCATGTGCCATGACTCAGATAGAGGCATTTTCTAGCCTAAAACATTCTTATGAATCAGGATAAAAACATTTTGCAACTTTCATTATATTAAAACTGGATTGTATGTACCGCTGCTGTCTCTCATGTTTTCTGATAATGTGGTAACTAGAGAGGTGTAAAAAGTTACTCTATATATGGGGCGGGGGGGGTGTATTTAAAGTTTGGAGCCCACAGTCACATAATAGGATTATAGATGACAGAGATGGAAAATAACTAGGATCCATCAAAATTTGTCTATCTGGGTTGGTGTTTAACACTTTGAGATGTAGGCATGTATCCATAGAAAGGAAACCACTAACCCTTTCTTCAGAGCCCTTAGGTATAAGCTAGCACTCCATGCAAAGTCAGTTGTGGCTCTAAGCAGGGTGGGAAGCAGTACCAGGGAGCAGAGCCAGTGCTAGGCATAAGCAGACTAAGCTATTACTTAGTCCCCCAAGAAGCTCAAGCTTCCCCCCCCATTCACTTTTTATTATAAGAACTTGGCTGTTTTATTATTGTCAGGGGTGGGGAGGAGACAAAATATTCCTGCTTAGGGCTCCCAATGGACTAGTACTGGCTCTGGCAGGGAGAGAAGGAAGGATTTTTGTCAGGCCTGTGAACTGAAGACCTTGCTCTCCTAATTTCTAGATCTTCCGATTAGTATAACAAAAATATTAGTTAAGATGACAGTTATATCTTAATAGAGAAAAACAGATTAATTCTTGGC